CGAAGGGGCGACAGGCATCGGGCCCCCAGGCAGAGCAACAGGCATCGGGCCCCCAGGCGGGGCGGCGGCGCCGGGCCCCCAGGCGGAGCGTCGGGCGCCGGGCCCCCAGGGGGGGCCCCAGGAGGGGCGACAGGCATCGGGCCCCCAGGAAGGGCGGCAGGCACACGGGCCCCCTTGGCGGAGCGACAGGCATCGTGCCCCCAGGCGGAGCGCCGGGCGCCGGGCCCCCAGGCGGAGCGCCGGCCCCCAGGCGGAGTATTTTGCGCCGACAGGCATCGGGCCCCTAATGCGGAGGGGCGACAGGCATCGGGCCCCCAGGCGGAGCGACCGGCATCGGGCCCCCAGGCGGGCGGCGGACGCTGGGGCCCCCAGGCGGAGCGGCGGGCGCCGGGCCCCCAGGCGGGGCGGCGGGCGCCGGGCCCCCAGGAGGGGCGACAGGCATCGGGCCCCCAGGAGGGGCGGCGGGCACCGGGTCATCAGGCACGACAACGGGCATCGGGTCACCAGGCATCAGGTCATTTGGCTCGCCAGCGGCACCACCGCATCATCTGGCAAGGCAGTGGGCACCGAGTCACCAGGCACGACAGTGGGATCCGAGTCAACTGGCATGACCGCGGGCACTGGGTCAGACATTGGATCGTCTGGCTCGACAGCGGGCATCGGGTCACCAGGCATCAGGTCATTTGGCTCGACAGCAGGCACCGCGTCATCTGGCAAGGCAGTGGGCACCGAGTCACCAGGCACGACAGTGGGCTCTGAGTCAATTGGCACGACAGCGGGCACCGGGTCATCAGGTACCGGATTGTCTGGCTCAACAGCAGGCACCGGGTCATCTGGCGCAGGATCGTCTGGCTCGACAGCGGGCATCGGGTCACCAGGCATGACAGCGGGCACTGGGTAATCAGGCATTGGATCGTCTGGCTCGACAGCGGGCATCGGGTCACCAGGCATGACAGCGGGCACTGGGTCATCAGGCATTGGATTGTCTGGCTCGACAGCGGGCATCGGGTCACCAGGTATGACAGCGGGCACCGGGTCACCAGGCATCAGGTCATTTGGCTCGACAGCGGGCACCGCGTCATCTGGCAAGGCGGTGGGCACCGAGTCACCAGGCACGACAGTGGGCTCTGAGTCAATTGGCACGACAGCGGGCACCGGTTCATCAGGTACCGGATCGTCTGGCTCGACAGCGGGCATCGGGTCACCAGGCATGACAGCGGGCACTGGGTCATCAGGCATTGGATCGTCTGGCTCGACAGTGGGCATCGGGTCACCAGGCATGACAGCAGGCACTGGGTCATCAGGCGTGATAGGATCATCAGGCTGGATCAGTTCATCAGGCTGGGTACAGACATCAGGCTGGGTAGAGACATCAGGATGAAGTGCGGGTGCCGAGGGCACCAGGCTGAACCACGGAAGGCAGGTTCTCAGACGGCAGGTTCACCGGTTTGGATACTGGCAGGATGGTACTGGTTGGGAAGAATTTTCGCTTTTTTCTGGTTTTAGTTACCGGAGCACTGTAAGTAAGCGCAGGTTTGTAAATGGATGGAGCAGCTGAAGACAGAGAAGAGCTGGAGGATGGAACAGAGGAGGGAGCAGTTGCTACAGAGGACTTCTTTACAGGGTTAAAGAAAGGATAGGTGCAGCTTGTGGGAGCAGGGGACTGATATGTGGTAGTTAGCAGAGTATACTGGGCCATCGCTGGAGGTGCTGTCGGGGATGTAGGAAGAGTGCATTGAGCAGAGGAATGACGTTGCAAGCTGACTGAGGCTGGGTGCAACAAGTCTGACCATGTCTGCAGTATGCGTTGAACAAAGCTCAGCTTACACAAAGCCTGTCTGGTCAAAGACTGCACTGCGTTTATACAATCCCTTAATACCTGTGGTGAACATGCAGCATAATGCTCCAAGAAGCAATCCACATCATCCTCTAATAACCATACCAGGGACTCTACTTGGTCTGCACTAAATGGTGGCAAAAAGTCATTCCTGCTTTCAGGGGTACCAGATGAAGCTAACTCTACACAAACCTGAATCAAAGGTTGCACCTCAGAGAACTCTGTGCCCTGATCTACTAGAACATGAGCGATCCGTATACATTCTAGCAGTTGATCCCGGGTATACTCCCTCAGAGTCTGATAAGCATATTCTCTGTCATCAAAAACCAGCAGCGACAAATACACAACCTCATCAAGATACATCCTTCCCAGCAACAAGCCAAGATGGCTTCCCTGTGCAGCCACTTCTGGTCAGGATTGGCCTTGGTGTAATGTCAGGGCTCCGGGTATGACCAGAGGTATGTGAACTGACGCAGGGAAACCCAGGCTTCAGATATGTTATAAACAATAAGACAATTTATTAAAGACTAACAATACAAACATAAACGCAGTGCACCAAAACCCCAAGCTAACACAAATACATACAACAAGGTGAAACAAAGCCAAACCTAAACTGATACAGATACACAGGTACATACACATATAGAGCACAACATAATCAGGCAGGCCGGGTCAATAACTATCGGGCAGGTAGGTACAGGAGGAGCAGGTGGAGAGAATGGTCAGGGTCACAAGCCAGGGATCAAAACAGGAGAAGTCAGCAGAGGTCAGGATCAGACCGGGTCCGCAACAAGTCAGGCAGAGGCAGGAACAGGAACAGGAATGCAGGTTACAAGATACAGGGGCCCATGGAAAAACACACACCAAGGCACAGACTGCAGGTCTGGCCATCCCTTAAATACACCTGCATAATCAGCTTCAGGTGTTTGGCTGGCAGCAGGGTTGAGTCTCTGATTGCTGAAAGCACCCGCTGGCCAGCCCTGGTACTGCAGCCCACAAGGCAGGCGAGTCCCACCATTACTGGCAAGTCCATTCCTGACAGTAGGCTTGGATGCAGCTGCTCGTCCATGGAAACCCATTCCATGAATCTCTCTATGGACTGTTGTGCTAATCTGAAGGCCGCACAAAGTTTGGAGGTCTTTAGCTATTGACTCCACAGAGATTTGGTGACTTCTGCGCACTGTGCGCTTCAGCATGCGCTGACCCCGCTCTGTGATTTTACGTGGTCTACCACTTCGTGGCTAAGTTGCTGTTGTTCCCAGTTGCTTCCACTTTGTTATAATACCACTAACAGTTCATCGTGGAATATTTAGTAGCAAGGAAATTTCACAGATGGACTTATTGCACAGGTGGCAACCTATCACAGTACCATGCTTGAATTCACTGATCTCCTGTAAGCGACCCATTCTTTCACAAATTTTTTTAGAAGCAGTCTGCATGCCTAAGTGCTTGATGGACTGTGGCCATGGAGGTGATTGGAATACCTGAATCCAATGATTTAGGGGGGTGTCCCAATACTTTTGGCAACATAGTGTCTATAACACACATTAAAATCAGTTATCAATTCATAAAAAATCATTAAATGCTTTTTTTACAGTACAACATAAATCAAAAGCACATGAATCTTAATAGCAGCCTTCTGTAATTCTCTCCACAGCAGCAAAAGAACACTGCACATTCCTACAAAATGGAAGAGCAAAGGGATGGCCTTGTCAGTGTGCTGCTGCTTCTTCATTGCCCAATCAGAGGTCTTAAAACAGATTTTATTACTTAAAGGGTATTTATAGCCAAGATTTTTTTTTCTAAGCTTGGATACAGTGGAGAAGGTCTAGAACCCATGTTAAGCTTTACCGCCATTCGGTGTTTCGTTAGAGTTGCTTCCTTTTCTGCTGACAATATTTTATCAGACAAGAAGTGAGGATAACTTTTCAACAGCAACAAAGACAATAATAAAAATGATTTTTTTAACTAGAGTTAAAGAGGTTTTGTCTGTGGTTTGTTGCAGGTTTGTTCTGTGACTGCTGACTTTTAAAATACAGACACTTGTCCCTCGGTCCAGTGGTGTCCTCACCCCCTCTGGTTTCACTGGTCGTCTTCTCTCCCCAACGCCGGCATCTTAAGTGTGGGCACCCGGCTGTGACAGCTTGTGGCATCACAGCCGGGTGCCCTCTGCGCATGCGTGAGAAGTGCTGCACTTTGTGAATGGCCCCGTAGTCTTCTGGGACCTGTCATGTGTCACAGAAGACTACAGGCAGAGAGGGGGGGTACAAAGTCAGGTACCCGCTTCCCCCCTGCTCCCCAAAGGTGCCAATCCTTAATGGGGAGGGAAGGACAAAGGCTTAAAGCGACACTTCCCTTTTTGGGTGGAGCTCCGCTTTAAGTGTCAATTTAAATCTAAAAAGGATATGCAAACTGTGATCATTTTACCTTTACAAACAATACATATTTTGCAAAAAGCTCTAACATCAACATATTATCTATACCTGCATTTTCGAACTTTTCCTGCCCAACCTTTACATGCCAAATCCTGAAGTCCCCTAACTCCCCCCTCTTGCAAATTTAATTCAAACATTTACACAATTTTAAAATATGTTTCTCTGCCAACTCTCTCCACCTTCTGCTTATTCCACAATTACATAGACCTGGGGTGTCCAACGTTTTGACTTTCCTGAACAACACTGGAGGAAGAGGAATTGTTTTGGGTCACACATAAACTACACTAACAATAAGGATAGCTGATGGACAGAAAAAGTCCGGCAGATCACAAGTTAACAATCGCTGATATACAAGTGAAACTCAAAAAATTAGAATGTCGTGCAAAAGTTCATTTATTTCAGTAATTCAACTTAAAAGGTGAAACTAATATATGAGATAGACTCATTACATGCAAAGCAAGATAGTTCAAGCCATGATTCGTCATAATTGTGATGATTATGGCTTACAGCTCATGAAAACCCCAAATCCACAATCTCAGAAAATTAGAATATTGTGAAAAGGTGCAATATTCTCGGCTCAAAGTGTCCCACTCTAATCAGCTAATTAAGCCATAACACCTGCAAAGGGTTCCTGAGCCTTTAAATGGTCTCTCAGTTTGGTTTAGTAGGAATCACAATCATGGGAAAGACTGCTGACCTGACAGTTGTGCAGAAAACCATCATTGACACCATCCATAAGGAGGGAAAGCCTCAAAAGGTAATTGCAAAAGAAGTTGGATGTTCCCAAAGTACTGTATCAAAGCACATTAATAGAAAGTTATGTGGAAGGGAAAAGTGTAGAAGAAAAAGGTGCACAAGCAGCAGGGATGACCGCAGCCTGGAGAGGTTTGTCAGGAAAAGGCCATTCAAAAGTGTTGGGGATTTTCACAAGGAGTGGACTGAGGCTGGAGTCAGTGCATCAAGAGTCACCACACACAGACGGATCCTGGACATGGGCTTCAAATGTCATATCCTCTTGTCAAGCCGCTACTGAACAACAAACAACGTCAGAAGCGTCTTACCTGTGCTAAAGAAAAACAGACCTGGTCTGTTGCTCAGTGGTTCAAAGTTTTCTTTTTTTGATGAGAGCAACTTTTGCATCTCATTTGGAAACCAAGGACCCAGAGTATGGAGGAAGAATGGAGAAGCACACACTGCAAGATGCTTGAAGTCCAGTGTGAAGTTTCCACAGTCTGTGTTGATTTGGGGAGCCATGTCATCTGCTGGTGTTGGTCAAGAGAAATACGACATTTGAAGCCCATGTCCAGGACTTGGCACCTGCCCACACTGCCAAAAGCACCAAAACCTGGTTCAAACGACCAGGTGATTACTGTGCTTGATTGGCCAGCAAACTCGCCTGACCTGAACCCCATAGAGAATCTATGGGGCATTGCCAAGAGAAAGATGAGAGACATGAGACTGAACAATGCAGAAGAGCTGAAGGCCACTATTGAAGCATCCTGGTCTTCCATAAACACCTCAGCAGTGCCACAGGCTGATAGCTTCCATGTCATGCCGCATTGAGGCAGTAATTGCTGCAAAAGGGGCCCAAACCAAGTACTGAGTACATATGCATGCTTATACTTTTCAGAGATTCGTTATTGTTCTATGTACAATCCTTGTTTTATTGATTGCATGTAATATTTCTAATTTTCTGAGATTGTGGATTTGGGGTTTTCATGAGCTGTAAGCCATAATCATCACAATTATGACAAATCACGGCTTGAACTATCTTGCTTTGCATGTAATGAGTCTATCTCATGTATTAGTTTCACCTTTTAAGTTGCATTACTGAAATAAAATTAACTTTTGCATGATATTCTAATTTTTTGAGTTTCACATGTAGATAATGTACCTATCTGAGTACTAAAACTTAATTTTTTAAAAATATTTTTTATTAGAAAAGTAAAAGAGGGAAACATAAAAACTAGTAACAGTGACTAGTGACTAGTTTGAAGCTGTTTTTGATAAACTAACGCATCAATATCTGTTTTCGATGGATGTAGTAGCAATTCTCAATGAATTCTCAAGGTGCTCATCGGATATTTTGGTTCTAATTTTGCCCTTCGTGTGCTTCATCTTTGAAAATAGTTGCTCACAAATATAAGTGCTGCTGAAAAATTATGGCAGGAATTGTAAAGAGTGGAGTTTGATTGTAAAGAGTGGGATATTTTTCTTTGAGAAGATAAAAACTTATAAATGTCCAAGAAATAAACACTGTCAAAATTTTCTTCAGCCACATGTGTTCACTAAGTCTGAACGTGTTAAAAAAAAATTCCAGAAAAATAATTTGTAAGTAAGTTTGCGATTGTGTTGGTCCTCATCAGGGGTGGACTGGCAACTCATGGGGCCCCTGGGCAATAGGGGATCATGGGGCCCCTGTGTCCTTGCCCACACTCAAACCACACCCAAAACAGCCTATGAAAGGTACCAGGGGCATCTCATGGGGCCCCCTACTGACCCCGGGCCCT